ACATTTAAACATTGCTTGTTTCTGGCCACATGAAATATGGATATAAATATGTTTTGCTAATTTTTTTTTTGAGATGGAGTCTTGCTCTATTGCCCACGCTGGAGTGCAGTGGCGCAATCTCAGCACACTGCAGCCTCTGCACTACCCCACTCACCCCAGTTCCAGCAATTCTCCTGCCTCAGCCTCCTGGGTAGTGGGAACTAAAGGTGCATGCCACCACACCCTGCTAATTTTTGTATTTTTAGTAGAGACAGCATTTCACCGTGTTGGCCAGGCTTGTCTCGAACTCCTGACCAGGTGGTCTGCCCACCTCGGACTCCCAAAGTGTTGACATTACAGGCATGAGCCACTGCGCCCGGCCAGTAGATTTTTTTAATTCTTGTCAAACAATTGACAAAAATATAAATACATCAGTGGAACAGAATAAAACAGCCAGAAATAGACCAACATGTTTATGACCAAATTATCTTTGACAAAGGCACCAAAGAAATCCAGTGAGGATAAGGAAAGTCTTTTCAATAACTGGTGTTGTAACAACTTAGTATACATCTAGAAAAAAATCCTTGATGTCTACCTCACTAGTACACAAAAATTAATTCAAGACAGATTACAGACCTGAACGTATAAAGCTACATATAACCTAACATTCTAAAGTTCCTAGAAGAAAACATAGACAGTATCTTTGTAGTCATAGATAAGGCAACAACTCCTTGTAGAAGAGCCAGACAGAGAAAAGAAACAATGAAAAATTAATAAAGTTGACTTCATCAAAATTTAAAATTTCTCATTAAGATGCAGTTAAAAATGAAAAGGCAAGCCACCACCTATAAAAACATTCCCAACACATGTATGACAAAAGACTTGTATGCAGAATATATGAAGAATTCCCACAAACCAATCATGAAAACCTAATTTTAAAATGGACAAAAGACTTGAACAGACATTTCTCAAAGAAAGACATGTAATAATCAATCAGCATATTAAAACAAATTTTCAACATGGGAAACGAAAATTTGAACCACAACGAGATACCACTTGGCATCTACCAGGATGGCAAAAAATTTAAAAGACTGGCAACCAAATGTTAGAATGTAGAGCAACTGGGACTCTAATACATTGTTGGTGGGAATGTAAAATTGTATTCTCACTTTTTAAAAAGGTTTGACAGTTTTGTTTCCTAGCAAAGGAAAATATACGTGTATTACCCGATCAGCAGTTTATCTCTTAGGTAAATAAAGACATAACTATTACATAACATCCACTAATAGTCAAATTGTGGCAATCCATGTTAGAGAACACTATACAGATGTTAAAAAAATTATAAAGATGTATGTATATTAAACATCTCTAAGACACTTAGTGAAGTGGGGTGGGAAAAACAAATTGGTGATCAGTATATATAGAATGATGCTGTATACATGAAGAAGACATTGTGGTTGACTCATTGTGGTTGATTCTATCTCAGTTGATTAAATCAGTTAGTATAAGATTCTCTTCCACTGGCAACCATGTTGTTTACAGTTTATAACGGTAAGCCTTAGGATGAGGATGACAAAGTGGACAGACATAAAGAAACTGAGCTCTGGATGGCCACTGAGTCACTGATTATACTATCCTTGAATCCACTCTACTTCTGGGTTTCTAGATGTGTGAAATAACATATTTTTTCCTAGCATATGCCAAAAGCATCTGAACTGGATGGTTGAAAGTGAGAAAGCCTAAAAAGATAAAAACCAAAATGTTGATATAGATCTCTGCATAATGAGATTATGGATTTGTTTTCTTTTTTCTTAAGCTATACTTTTAGCTTTTATACAATAAACAAGTCTGATAAAAATAATTACTCATAAAAAGCATTCCAAATTAAAACCCTTTTATTCAGAACCTGTATTATTTCTGGGATTTTCTATGACTCCTGGATATCCCTTTTATAAGATCATTTGCATATGCCATATCTCAGTGATCAAAAAGTGGGATCAACCAAAGATAAATTAGATAACAGATAACAAGAAGTCTCACAGTAGCCAATTGAAAAATGAGATATACAAAATGGAATATGCTTACCACCTCTTTAGGCTTTTAAATCAGTGCTGTAAATGGCTGAATCAGTCCTGGAGCTGTGAATTGTTAAGTTTTTCTTCCACAAAAGAATGACAGATGGCCGGGCACAGTGGCTCAAGCCTATAATCTCAGCACTTTGGGAGGCCAAGGTGGGTGGATCACGAGGTCGAGAGATCAAGACCATCCTGGTCAAAATGGTGAAACCCTGTCTCTACTAAAAATACAAAAAATTAGCTGGGCATGGTGGCGCGTGCCTGTAATCCCAGCTACTCAGGAGGCTGAGGCAAGAGAATTGCTTGAACCCAGGAGGCGGAGGTTGCGGTGAGCCGAGATCGCACCATTGCACTCCAGCCTGGGTAACAAGAGCGAAACTCCGTCTCAAAAAAAAAAAAAAAAAAAAGAATGACAGATATAGTACAAATAAATGTATTCCACAGATTTTGACTGACCATCATGAAGACATTTTCTAAATATGCATTTATTGACTTTCTGAGAAATCAGTATTTTGTTGTCAAGGACAGTATTATTTATAGATGTGGAACTCAAACTAATCAAATAAAGGAGGGTTGAGAGGATGAAGAATACCACACAAACAGAAAGCTTTAAAACAAAATATTTGCTATTCTTATGAAAGCATAAAAATTAACAGCTCTAGGACTGACTCAACCATTTATAGCACTGATTTAAAAGCCTAAGTAGATTATATATATATATATATATATATATATACATATATATATATATGCTATTCTAAACTTATTTTTGTACAGGGGTTACATCTAAAATATAAGCTATTTTTGGACATATAGGCCTGTCTGCTATACTGGTGGTTAGGACCTGGAGGAGTTTTCTTTTGCATACAAGTTTATTATTTTTTTCTTTTTCCTTAAAAGAAAATGAAGTATATGGTGTAGGGCTGAAGTGGTGTTGCCTCAGTCAGTCCTAAGGCCTATGGAGAAAGAAGCTGAAGGCCAAAGCCAAAATCTTCCCAAGGTGATCCATGAGACATAATGGCACAAACAGCATGGATTTGGTGCTCATATGACATGATAACTGCTAAGTGCAGTCTCCATCTGGGAACATGACTCTGACTAGAGGAGGACTCAAAATAATGCAGTTTGTTTTCACAGCTCAAGAGTCTGCAGCTTTGAGAAAACTGGGAAGCACATATTTGTTATGCACAGACATCTGAGTTCTCTTGGTACAGTGATAACTACCACTTTCAAGTAGTTTTTTGAACAGCAGACATCAACAAGGATAGGAAATTGTGATAATGGAAAGATGAATACAGAATTTTCCAGGCTACTTGCCATAAAGATAGCTGCAATTTCTATCACTGAATAACAGTCAAGAAGTACCTATATCAGGAATCCATGTTGATGTTTTAAGTCAATTACTGTAAGATTTAAGTCCATCACTGTAAGATTAAATTGCTTACTATAGAATACTCAGAAAATCTTGAAATGCTTCAATTCAAGCCAAAATCTTCTACTTAAACAACCGTGGCTCTAGAGCAGCTTTTTTGCAATGACAATATTGCCAGACATAAGGCATTTATGCACTAGACATATATTACGTTACTTACATTTAAGGAATATGTGGATGAGAACTTTGCATTGTTCAACCATCCGTCCATTCATCTCTCCATATGTCCATTGATCTGTCTGTCTATCTCATCTATAGACAATGCTCACCCTGTTTCAAATACAATGTCAAGAACAGTTTTAGTGGAACAGTGGATATGGGTATCAGAAATGGGTTACATCTGATTCTCAAAATATGGCCCTCAGTAAGGTACTCTGATAAGCTGCAAACTTGACCCTTATATACAAGTTATAATGATAGGGTCTCATGGTTCTTTACCAGGAGGACTAGTTATGAATGAATAAAGAAGAGCATAAGCAGAAATTAATAAAATCTCTATTTTCTTAACTGAGAAGTCTAGATTTTGTGCAACTTTTGAAAATCAGCGTACACAAAGGCAAATAGCTGAAATTCCTAATGTTCTCAGAATGGTAGCTATTTTATTAGTTCACTAATTTTTGCTTAAGTTGGTTAAGACTTTCAACTAATGAGAAAATTTTAAATTAAACATTTAAAATTTTAATTATAATTTGTTTATCTTTATTATGAATTTATTTGGTTGTGTGTGATTCATTTAGCTCTGCAATACAGTGATATAAATTCACATCAATATGGTAGACTGTTTTTCTTCTATAGCTAGATTTGTTCCCTATTGGTTATGTCAAATACACTTCTGTTGTTAAAGCTGATGTACACATAGTCTCCAAAGTGTTTGTCTGGTAACACTTATTTGTCACTAAATTCTTGCTCCATTAAACAAATACAAATAACTAGGGTAGTTAGGCTGTGAAGTCATTTTTTCCCCCATCAAATAGCTCATGGTCACAAAGACCAGAGAACAGTGCAGATGACATTTAAGAAATTTGATCCTAAAAAGAGGAAAGCTGGTAGCTAAAGGAGAAGTGGCAGGGGTGGGGGGACATCTAAGAATATCTTTCCTTTTGGAAGATAAGCCTGAGCATGTTTATGAGATTTATCTTGACAGCCATTATCAAGCAAAGAGGCTGAAGGGAAAGGAGGAATAAAAGGTAGAGTAAGAGTCCCACAGGTGGAACAGAATGATATCAGGGGCTCAGGAGAAAGAGAATTGTGTTATAAAATAAGTATAAAATCAATAATGAGCCAAAAACAATCATGAAACTATTCAATATAATAACTCAGAAGAAGGTATGAATGAAATGTCATAAGCTGTATTATACTGTGATAATGTTATTACATCCAATGAATCCTTAGTAAAATCTTAGCCCATACAAAACACTACATTTTAGCCTAGATCTATCAATGAATATGCAATAAAATTTTCTTCATTTATTTTGAAGTCATTTTCAAATAATGTTTTAACTTTTTTTTTCCAGATTGGACTCCTTCTCGTCCTGAGCCAGTATATACCCCAACAGGCTTAGAAATGGAACCCCTTTATCCAGAATCGAAGGAAGCTACTGTGGTTTATCTAGCTGAAGATGGTGGGCACGTAATGACATATGTCGATGTAAAATATAATTTGGTACTTAGATTAATGTCGTAGTTATATTTGTTTTGCTGCTTATAGTAGAAATGTCAGATTACCAGTCCCCAAACATAAAGATGCTTGGCTACATATTGATCTAAGTGTTGATTTAGTGCCAGTTATATTTTTAAAGGTGTATATACGCAGTTTATGCAAAATTACTTTAAAATTAAACATCGTGTTGGCCATTAGAATGAAGAGTTATATTTAAAATGATTTTGCTTCATATCAGTTTTGAAAGATAAACCCAGTGAAGGGCTTTGCAATTATTGTTCCCTCTCCATGTACTGCTCACATTAATGCATTTGTTCAGATGTTTTTCTTTTAATTTCCTGACTCTGACGCATTTCTTGGTGCTTTAATCTTTAAAAGAGAATTACCCCACGTTGCAAAAAATATCTAAGATTACATCTCAGGAAAGTATTCTTAACACTCAATATTCATATTTTTAACTTTGAAAACTATTGATGCAAAACATTTTGTTTGCTTTCATGATGATAGACTATGCTAATAATCAAACATAGAAGTCTCAGAGTATATTCTCAACTATACTGCTCCTGACGCACCAGCTTAAGGAAGTATAGACTCTGTACAATTTCACTATCACAATTTAATATCTTAGAGTATTTTTGTATATTAAAAATAACTTCCAGGGAGCATATGTATTTTATTTCAGGGGCTAGCAATACAAAGAGAAATTCACAGAGACTGCTTCCTGTACAGTAAGGAATTTCTAGAAATCACACACTCACAGCTCACAAAAAATACACTCACAATATTTTTAAACAAGTGGAGTGAGAGGAATACCTCTGATTTTTCCAATTTGATTGTAAATATTTACATGGTGAACATGCCTCAGAACTGCCATACATAGCTGAAATGAGATCTGATTTTAAAAACTAAACTAATTGAGATGAATCAGTCAGGGTCTTTTCAGGAATTACCATACTCAGAGTAATTTAAGAAAGTTTAATGAAATTTAATTTAATGAATTTTAAAAGGGTAGACAGAGATAATGGAGATTAACAAGGGATGGTGAAGCAACATAGGACTATCAACAGAGCAGATAGGTGTCCTAGGCCTGAAAGGGTGACAAGGAAGAATGGTCTCCACACCTGTAGAATCCTTTAGGTGTAGGAGAGAGCAGCCTCGAAACAATTGTGGCTCTCAGTAAAGAAACAGACAACTGCCAACCCGTGGCACTGAAGAGAAAACGCTAGGGGGATAAATAACCCAATTTCACTCTCCTTCCAACTTCCCATGTTCCACCAGTGCCTCCTACTGTCCACAGCCAAAGGGCAAGGGAACTCGGGCAGTCAATACAGATCCACCTCTTTGGAAATGTATCATGTGGAGAAGAGTAGAGGATGGATCTGTAGGTAGAAACAGAGAACACGCATTGCAGTCAATCCCACTTCATCTTATTTTTATGCCATACTTGGGAGTTGTGAAGATCTACCTGTCCGTGAGTTGAAAGGAAAGCTATAGAGCCAAGGCTTGAGGATGAAAAAACATCTGACTTACTTGATTTTCATCGAACATGTGAAAGATTAATCACAAATACCTACCTTTTTCCATTTTTACAAATGACAAAAAAGAGTAGAAAAGACAAATTTCAGTAGGTAAGATACAATTTAAATGTCAGTGAAAATTAAATGTTAATATAAAGTTAAAACCTAGGACAGGACACTGAAGAATGTGGCATACTCTGAGAAATGATTAGTTTTTATTTTGGATAAATTGAAGTAAAATGCAAACAGAGTCAAATGTATAGACCATATGTACACAATTTGGTGAGTTTTGAAAACTATATCACCTATGTAACCAACACTTCTATCAGAGATGTGGAACACTTCCATCACCCCAGAAAGTTCCCATCTGTCCCCTCTCAGTCCCCAGCTCCAGCCCCAGGCAAACACTGGTCTGATTTCTGTCGCCATAGATTAGTTTTGCCTGATTTTTAGCTTCATATAAATGCAGTCATATACACAGTAAGTACACTGTTGTGTCTGAATTCTTTGACTTAGAATTCTGTTTTCAGATTTTTTTTTTTTTTTTTTTTTTGAGACAGAGTCTCACTCCGTCACCAGGCGCCAGCAGGCTGGAGTGCAATGGCGCCACCTCAGCTCACCGCAGCCTCCGCCTCCCGGGTTCAGGCAATTCTCCTGCCTCAGCCTCCTGAGTAGCTGGGATTACAGGCACATGCCACTATGCCCAGCTAATTTTTTTTGTATCTTTAGTAGAGATGGGGTTTCACCATGTTGGCCAGGATGGTTTCGATCTCTTGACCTCGTGATCCGCCCACCTCGACCTCCCAAAGTGCTGGGATTACAGGGGTGAGCCACCGCACCCGGCCCTGTTTTCAGATTTATACATGTTAGCAGATTCCTTCATATTGCCAAATAGTACCCCATCAAATGACTATACCACAATTTGTCTTTTTATGATTGATATGTAGTCCAGATATAACCCCTGTATCAGATACATATGATATCGTGAAATCTTCACTTTCGTCTGTGGAAATCCTTTTCATTTTCATAACAATGTCTTTTGATGAGTAGAACTGTCAAACTTTTATGAAGTCAATTACCAATTGTGTTTCTTTCTAATTTAGTGCATTTTACATCCTTCCCACCTATAAACTTTGCTTTTCCCCGAATCACCTTTTTTCAAGAAATTTTATTCTTTTCACTTTTTAATCTTTGATTCATTTAGAATCATATTTAAGAATGAAAAACATTTGGGATAATGGTCAAGGTTCATTTTTTGCCACTTTTTAACAAAATTGATTCATCACCAGCTATTGAAAAGAGTATCCTGTTGCCTATTGAATTGCCTAGCCAACTTTATTAAATGTCAGTTAACGATATATATTTAGGTCTATTTCTAGACACTTCATTCTGTTCCTTTGATGTATTGACACTTATGCAAGTACCACCATATTGATATTGTAGCTTTATCCATGGCAATCTACTTTGATATTAAAAATAAGCTATTCGATCTTTTTGTAGTATTTGTATGGTGTGTATATATTTTCCATCATTTTATTTTCAACCTATGTTTTATATTTAATATTTTTTAATTGTGGTAGATATACAGCCTATCATTGGGATTTGCTTTTTTTTTAAGTTCTGGGATACACGTGCAGAACCTGCAGGTTTGTTAGATAGGTATCTATGTGCCATGGTGGTTGGCTGGACCTATCACCTAGCTTTTAAGCCCCATATGCATTAGCTGTTTGTCCTGATGCTCTCCCTCCCCTCGCCCTGGCCCTGTCAGGACGTGGTGGTGTTATTCCTCTCCCTGTGTCCATGTGTTCTCATTGTTCAGCTCCCACTTATGAGTGAGAACATGCAGCGTCTGGTTTTCTGTTCCTGTGTTAGTTTGCTGAGGATGATGGTGTCCAGCTTCATCCATGTCCCTGTAAAGGACATGATCTCATTTCTTTTTGTGGCTGCATAGTATTCCACGGTGTATTTGTACCACATTTTATTTATCCAGTCTATCATTGATGAGCATTTGGCTTGGTTCCATGTCTATGCCTTTGTGAATAGTGCTGCAATAAACATACGTGTGTATGTATCTTTATAACAGAATGATTTATATTCCTTTAAGTAAAATACCCAATAATGGTATTGCTGGGTTAAATGGTATTTTTGGTTCTAGATCCTTGAGGAATGGTTGAACTAATTTACATTGGTTGAACTAATTTATATTCCCACCAGCAATGCAAACGCGTTTTTATTCCCTACAGCTTCACCAGCATCTGTTGTTTCTTGACATTTTTTTTTTTTTTTTTTGAGATGGAGTCTGCTCTGTTCCAAGCTGGAGTGCAGTGGTGCGATCTCAGCTCACTACAACCTCTGCCTCCCAGTTCAATTGATTCTCCTGCCTCAGCCTCCCAAGTAGCTGGGTTTATTGATTTTTAATAATTGCCATTCTGACTGGCATGAGATGGTATCTCATTGTGGTTTTCATTAATATTTCTCTAATGATCAGTGAGGATGAGCTTTTTTTCATGTTTGTTGGCCACATAAATGTGTTCTTTAGTGAAGTGTCCATTCATATTCTTTGCCCACTTTTTGATTTTTTTTTTTGTTGTATATTTAAGTTCTTGTAAATTCTGGATATTAGACCTTTGTCAGATGGGTAGATTGCATAAATTTTCTCCCATTCTGTAGGTTGTCTGTTTGCTCTAATGATAGTTTCTTTTGCTATGCAGAAGCTCTTTAGTTTAATTAGATATGATTTGTCAATTTTGGCATTTGTTACAATTGCTTTTGGTGATTTCATTATAAAAGCTTTGCCCATGCCTGTGTCCTGAATGCTATTGCCTAGGTTTTCTTTTAGAGTTTTTATGGTTGGATTTGCCTTTCATATAAATTGAAAATTTGTCTTTTAATTATTATGTTTAATATAATAATAATTATTATTTTGAGACAGAGTCTTGCTCTGTCACCCAGGCAAGAGTGCAGTGGCATGATCTCGGCTCACTGCAACCTCTACCTCCCGGGTTCAAGTGACTCTTCTTCCTCAGCCTCCTGAGGAGCTGGAATTACAGGCATGCCCCACCACCTCTGGCTAATTTTGTATTTTTAGTAGAGATGGGGATTCTCCATGTTGGCCAAGTTGGTCTCAAACTGCCGACCACAGGTGATCCGCCTGCCTTGGCCTCCCAAAGTGCTGGCGTGAGCCACCGTGCCTGGCCAATACATAATTATTAATGTTGTTGGATTAATAGCTACCGTCTTACTAGCTTTGTTTTATTCCATCTGTTATTTCTTTTTTATTCTTTTTCTGCCTTCATTGATATTAATTCGAGTATATTTTATTTTTCCATTTTATCTCCACTATTGGTTTATCAAGTATACCTGTTTTTAAATTTTTCTCGTAGGTTTTTTTTGGGGGATATATCTTTAATTTAGAATATTATCTCTTGAAATAATGTTATGCCAC